ATATATAGTGTAAATGTATGACCCAAATAAAATATGAACTGTACGTCAACTTGTAAGAAAGTCACTTTTAAGAACTGGGTGGGATATGAACGTGTTGTATGTGCGCTGTGTCATTAACTTACCTCTGTTATCTTATTTGCCAACTCCTCTTTATCTTGAAGTTTATTCTATCCACTCACAATATTAGACTTATATAATCTTGTCATTTTCATTCGTCTCATGAGCTCACGATTTACTACATAGTTATTCACCATACCAACGAAAAAATAAAAAGGTAAAAATCCTATAAGCGAGAGAACGATGCGGAAAATCCGTGATATCCACCGTGAATTGCGATATTGGTATGGAACGTCGAAACAAATTGTTGCCTACATTATCATTGAAAGAAATGCTGATACACACTGCATACACATGTGATATTTTGCCGAAAGTCACATTTGGCCTTAACAATCGCGATAAACCATCAAGGTAAACTTACATGTGTATTGTGATACAGATTATTTATGTCCATGCCACATGCGATTTATCATCACTTTAAATTTGTTAACCTTGTAGTATACGTTTAAAAAAAAAATATATTTCCGTATGCAGTCGTGCTGTCGGTAATACAATGACTGATATTAACAGCAGAACTATTCAAGATTATATATCAGATGTATAATCCCAGTGGGATTTACACGACAACGATAATTTTCTATGTTTGCTTAATCACCTACATAAATCAACGCATCTTCTTTTTTTTTTTTCATCCAATCGTCTTCTTTAATATACAAAAATGCCATAATATTTATAGACTCTATTGCCCAACCACTGTCTTCCGGCAAGTTGCCGGGGACATTGTATGAATAAGTAAAACGGTACAAAGCATATCCGAATTTAAACTTACATAAACGTAGATCTAATTATGGTGTAGATTCAACATGTGAAAGACCCAGAAGCCAATAATGATTCCATAAAATAATGTTTTCGTCAGTCGGTGACAGCGCTCCTAGTATTGATGTTGCCAATAGGCTGTGTAGCTTGCGTAACACGGGCAGGTTGCAGTAACGTTGTGTCAATAATTCTCGATGTTTTTTTTAACAATACGAAATACAATTTAACGATCTCTCTTATCACCCCAGTGGGATTTATACGAAAACTATAATTTCCTACGCTCGTTTGAACACCTGCGTGAATCAACGCATCTTGTTTTTTGCAATACATGCTTAGGATGATAAATAACGTTAAAGCAACTCAAAAATGTGTACGAAATGATTCCGGGCCTGTGTTCATAATCCATTACAAGTAAATATCAACACTGTAAAAAAAAAAATTAAAAAAAATGAGGGTTTAAACACAAAACTCCACGCAATTGTGACCCGCGGCGCTTCTGTTAATACGCTTAAAAACTAAACACGTTTACGATCTTGACATATTTAGCAAAAATATAAAATATCAATACTTCAAGATTCTAAGCACATTATGATGTGACTAAACATGTTTAGCTTTAAACGTGTCACAAATTGCGTGGAGCTTTGTTTAAACATCAGTGGTGGCGCCCCCCCCCCCCC